TGCGAAATTTAATTTCAGTTCCAGTATTAACTCAAAAAGGTTTTGAGATTACTTTTAGGTTTAGCACAGTATTGATTAAGAAAGGAAGTGTATTAGTGAAAGGTGTAAGAATGAATGACATGTACTCTCTTCCTATTGATAATAAAATATGTATTTCTGATTATTTGCATATTTCTACTAGTAATAGTTCTTATTTGTGGCATTTAAGGTTAAGTCACATTAATAAAAATAAAATGTCTCGAATGTTTAAAAGTGGCTTATTGCCTAAAGTATGTTCTGATGATTTTGATATATGTGAACCATGTATCAAAGGCAAAATGACTAGCAAGCCATTTTTTAAACATTGGAAATCATCAGAATTATTTGAAATAATTCATTCGAACATTTGTGGACCTTTAAGAACTAAAACTCATCGAGGCATGGAATACTTTATTACTTTCACTGATGATTATTCAAGATATGGACATATCTACCTTCTTAAACACAAATCAAAAACAATTGAAAAGTTTAAGGAATATAAATTAAAGGTAGAAAAGCAACTTGGTCGGTCCATTAAACACTTGAATAATGATAGAGGTGGCGAATATGAAGCTATGGAATCTTTCTGCAAGGAGAATGGCATAAAACATTTGTTTACAATGCCATATACACCACAACAAAATGGGGTCGAAGAAAGACGCAATCGTACTCTCATGGAAATGACAAGGTTTATGATGGCTCATACTAATCTTCCTATTCATTTTTTGGGGGAAGCCTTGTCCACCGCTGCGTACATATTAAATAGAGTCGAAACAAAATCCAAACCTCTAACTCCTTATGAATGCTGGGATAGAACTAAACCTAATGTTCAAAATCTCAAAGTTTGGAGATGTAAGGCACATGTCCTTATTCCCAAACCTTTAAGGGATAAATTGGGAAGCAAAACTTGGGAATACAAGTTTATTGGTTATGTCGAAAATGGGAGTGGTTATCGTTTTTACTATCCCGAACGTGGATTGATAGAAAGTCGAGATGCTATTTTTCTTGAATTCACTGATCTTGTTACTCCTATTGAACAAATTGAATTGCTCTCTAACGTATCTCCGAATTCTTCTCTTCCTTATTTGTCACACAGTCCACATATTCTCCCCGAACCATCTACGGTTTTGAAAGATCATTATGTTTTTCAAGTTGAAAAACTTAATAATTTAGTAGATGATCCTACTAGTTATAATGAAGCAGTGAGTAGTAATGATGCTACACAATGGCTTGAGGTAATGAATGAAAAACTTGACTCGATCAAGAAAAATGATGTTTGGGAATTAACCGATCTCCCAAATGGAAGAAAAGTCATTGGTTGCAAATGGGTTCTTAGAAAGAAATTCAAAGTAGATAGAAGTTTCGAGAAATACAAGGCCAGGTTAGTAGCCAAGGGATTCACTCAACAACCTGGAATAGACTTCGTAGATACATATTCTCCTGTTGCAAAATTTGCCTCTATAAGGATTATAATGGCGGTAGTAGCCATGATGGATTTGGAATTACATCAATTAGATGTTAAAATTGTTTTTCTCAATCGAGAATTAAAAGAGGAAATTTATATGATTCAACCTGATGGTTTCCAAAACCAAGGCAATGAGGATAAAGTCTACAAGTTGAAGAAATCTCTATATGGACTTAAACAATCTTCAAGACAATGGTACTTGAAATTTCACCAAGCCATTTTAGAAATGAGCTATGTTGTGAGTCCATTAGATCGTTGTGTTTCTATCTGGAAAAATGATGACAAGTTAGCAATATTGTCTTTATACGTGGATGACATATTGTTAGCAGGAAATTGTCTAGATATGATTATAAAAATCAAAATTTTCTTAGCATCTAGATTTGAAATGAAAGACATGGGTCTTGCAACCTATGTTCTAAGAATTAGAATTTCAAGAGATAGAAATTCAAAATTATTATATCTAGATCAAGAGAAATATCTAGACAATGTGCTCAAAAGATTTAATATGGATAACTGTAATTCTTTAAGTACGCATGTTTGCAAGGGACAAAGTCTTAGTAAAAGTATGAGTCCTCAAACTAAGTCTAACATTGAGGAAATGAGAAATGCCCCGTATGTCCAGGCAGTAGGCAGCCTAATGTATGCTATGACAAGCACAAGACCTGACATCTGTCATGCAGTCGGATTGGTAAGTCAGTTTCAATCCAATCCAGGTAAGGAACATTGGCAAGCAGTTAAAAGAATATTCAGATATTTAAAAGGCACTAAAAATTTAAAATTATGTTTTGGTTTGTGTGATTTAGACATAAAAGGATACACTGACGCGGATTTTGTAGGAGATATAGATGATAGAAAATCCACTAGTGGTCATGTGTTCTTGTTTGGTGGAACAACAGTTTCTTGGTTAAGTAAGAAACAGAGTTGTGTTGCAAAGTATACTATGGAAGCTGAATACATGGCTTGCAGCACAACCGTTAGTAATACGGTCTGGATAAAATGATTTGTTGACAGTTTACAATTAGGTATACCTGCCAGACCGGTCAATATGTTTTGTGACAATCAGTCTGCCATCTCATTAATTAAAAGTGGAGCGAATAGCTCTAAGGGAAAACATATTGATGTAAGTTACCACTATATTCAGGACATAGTGGAGAGAGGTGAAATTAAAGTCAACTATATTTCCTCATAAGAGATAGTGGCCGACCTTATGATCAAAGGGTTGTCTCTGGAAAAATTTAGAGAACATATAGCTAATATGGGATTGAAAAATGCCTAGCTAGGTGATTTAGCTACTTCTATAAGAGCATAGTCGGATGACTCTGGGGACGCCTAGATAACCGATGTTTTGCGACTCTATCCTACATAAAAACATGTGTTTGCTCAGGTAACAAGATAGAGGAACTGCCAAGGTACGGATATCATAGTTAACATGAGATGTAAAGTCCATAATATGCAAACGTACTAACTAGATGATATTGTCTGCTTGATCAGCAAAAACTCATTGATAAGGTGTGTTAAGGAAAATTTTCAGGAATGGGTCTTAAAGGAAGTACTTAACAATAATTTCAGTGCAGGTCGACACATGAAAATGTGTACGGCTAAAGTCGTCAATGGTGATTGGGTATGGACTATGAACCCATCACTGAAAATTGATGTCGTTCACTTATTATATAGTGAATTGAAGTCATCTGGAATGTGTTATCAATGGGAGAATGCATTCGTACAGGTACGGTCAGATTGGTGACAAAAACGTGCGCACTTGTGGCCAAGTCACAATCAGACGTCGATCTATGAGGTAATTTCATAAATGAAAGTTGACATAAGGCAAAATTTTGGTATCAAGGTAAACATGCTCAACTCAGGAATTTTCACATCATTATAATGTGATCAAGTGGGAGATGTTAGATTAAATGTGACCACATCATAATATGGTGTGCCTCTCCATACTTGATCGTTTCCAATTAACATGTGTATATCTTCCTGTTAGAACGGATTAATCTGGTAAGTTGAATTTGAACTCAATGGATGCATTGTTTCCAAAGGTTGACTTTTAGCAAATGGGTACCATTGTGGTTATAAATACATTGGCAAAATGATTTCTTTTTACACATATTCATAACCATCGCACATCTAGAATTTCAAGACCAAACTTAGTTTCCGGATTACTACGTCTTGTGCGATAAATACCCTCACGGGAGCACCGATCACTTAGCCATTGTAAAGATTATCTTTCAAAAATAAGGTTAGTGGATATGCTGAACTCATATTTATCATGAAAAATGTTTAGTGACTCGAATAGTTTGAATGTGTAAAAACGATATCGTTTTACACTTAAAATGATATTATTTTGGATGTTTCGAGCCATTCAAGCCATAAATTTTCGAACTACTTAACATTATTGATTTATTATTGTTTCTCAATTTGCAAAAAAAATAGTGTTATATACATAAATAAAACTTACAAAATTTATCTTGCAAATTGTTGATACTTGCTTGTTTTGTTTTGTTTTTTTTTTAATAATTACAAATTAGAACATTTGCTTTTGTCCTAAGAATGAGAAATTTGGTTCAAATCCCTGAACAGCTGATAAGATCCTAATTGTCATTGCATGCAAAATTTTGATGTGATTTTGTTATAAACGACAGTTATTTTTATATTTTAAATAAAAAATATTTTCAAATTTTTTTAAAAAAATTATGAGCTTCAAATAAAATTTTAAATTGTGTATTTAATTATAAATTGTAAATTTTTAAATCAAATATCATATGCCACATCATTCATTTCAAACTCAATTCAAAACTCTTATCAAAACTTATGACCAAACAAATTTTTCACTCAAATCATAATTTCAAAACTCATAAATTCAAAATACACTCTATTCTCAAATTACAATTCTAAAACTCTACCAAATGTTACATGACTTTTTGACATTTTAACTATTTTAATAGGTTGCCAAACCCTCAACTTTAAATAGAACTTATATTATTAATTCTAATTTTCCCTATATAGAATAGTAATTGGGGTCTTTTAGCAACAAGCTAAAGTCCCCGTTTGATATAACTGTTAAAACAAATTATAAATTATAATTTTAACCAGAAATTATTAATTTATTTAGTGTAACGGTTAAATTATAAATTCAAATTGTTAAATAGTATATGTTAAATAAGCTATGAAATTTTTTTTTTAATTAACTTTTATGTTTTGTTATTCACTACTTGTTTACATTTTTCATAAAAAATAATAATAATAATAATAATCTATAATCCATTCGGGTCTTTTTCTATTTTAAAAAAAAAAATTAAAAAAATCTAAAAGTATAACCGTAAATTAACATATCTACAGCAGAAGCTAATAATCAGAAGTAAGAAATGAACAGCTTCTCAAAATCAACTTTTTTGAGTTAAAATAAATTGTTAGAATCAAAAGTTGTATAAAATAAGGCCTAGTTTGACATACTCTAAAAAAATCAAAAAGTCACTATTTTATTTTTCACATCATCTTATTTAAGTCACATCACTTCAAACCCAATACATATTTCATAAAAAGTCAAAAAACACACTTATTTAGAACATCCCAAACAACCCTTAAATTTAACCAAACAGTCCAAAATAACTTCTCTAAAACTAGAAGTATAAATTGGCTAAAAAAAAACCAAACAAACATCCCCCAAAAAACTAATTTTTTGGCTTTTTAGTTTTTCCACACAAAAAAGCCGGCTTTTTTGCCAAAAAAGCAGTCTTTTTTGTCAAAAAAGTCAATTTTTTTGCCATAAAACCACTAAAAAAGCCAAAAAGCCAAAAAGTTGATTTTTTACCAACTTCCCAAAATACTTTTTTATCAGCACCGGAGCCAATTCCAGCACCATACTTCATTCCCTCGCTGAAGAGGAGCTCCTCGTCAGAGTGAATGATCATCTGAATGATGTCGTGGACGCAGCACGTGTGGGTGTGGATCTACAGAAAAAAAATGAGTGTCAGCCAAAAAACACAATACAGAGGAAATGAGGAAAGTGTTCAAGGAACTGTGAATGAAAGGAGGGATGGCAGAACCTGGGTAGTGTCAGTGGCAGTGTCAGTGACACCGGCTTGTGGATCTTCCACTACTTCATCCTTGATGGCCTGATGGCTAGTTTCAAATCTGGGAACACGAAAACAAATCACGTTATTACACATTCTAATGTCAACCAATCAATAAAATAACTTTATTATTATTATTATTATTTTAATACGTGGGCTGGTCATTACGGACGACCGACCTGTCGAGCAAGGGCATGGAGCCAGTAAGCTTTCCTTTCATTGCCTTTTGGCGGCTCACACCACCAAAGATGATTGGCCGCTTCACACAACGACATCCATAGGATTGCACCCACCCATTCGCAGATAAGGCAAAACCAGAGGATTAAAACCATATGGTTAGCAATATAGAATTGGTATATCATTAGAAAGCATAAAAACTAGAATAAAAGCTCATTTTACATATGCCAAAAAATAAAAAACAAAAATAATCATACCTCATCCTTGTGACCAGCCAATGCCTTTGCCAATGAATTGACTTCAACGACTTTTTGAGCAGCAAATGCCAACCATGATTTCAGCTCTTTGTCAAACGGAGTCTCATTAACTAAATCAACAGTGTGGTGAAGCCAGCAAGAGGTGGAGACAACAAGCTTGTCTGCATGGAAGAATTATAATTATCAGTACTACATACCCATAATATTTACCCAGAATTTTACTCAAACATCAATGTGGTTCAGATTCATTATTACATGGACCACACAATACACCAATTAAATCTCAAACACATTTATGCATTCATGGTAATTTTCTTGACTGTCTGCAGGCATTCAACATTATTTGCCATGCAATGAAATGGGTAGACAATGATACCTTTACCCACGATGCCCTCAAGAGTCTGCAGCAGGCTGAGAGGTGCAGCAAGATCATTGGCCCATATGTTTCTTCCATCAACCACTCCAGCAAAGAGGTATTTTTCTGACGGGAATCCACTTGTAATCAAATCAAGAGTTTGTGCTCCCCGAACCAGATCAAAACCAAAACCAGTGACACACTTGAGGCTGGTGAGGGTTTCAAATGCCTCAGCTGGAACATCAGCAAAGTAAGTCTCGACAATAACATTCAGGCCCGACAAAGCTGATTCTAGCCCAGAGTATGCAGCAGTGAATGCTTGCAATTGGTGAGATTCAAGATCCTTCATCACAAGGGTGGGCTCATCAAACTGAATCCATGATGCACCAGCGGCCTTTAGCTCACCAACAACTTCCCTGCAGGAGATTTTCTCATTATAATAGCATATTGGAAGAGTCACAGAATTATGCAAAAACTTAATAACCATATTGATAAAGTAGTTCAATTCCTTACTTATAGATTGGAAGGATTTTGTCTAGAAGGGAGAGAAGAGAAAATGATTCCTCGACACCCTTTGCAGGTTTTGAGAGCAACAAGTAGGAGACAGGGCCAACAAGGACTGGAACGGTATCTACTCCAAGCTGCATGAAACAAGAGAGTAAACATGTGACAATTAGTAACAATTCAAAGGTTATATATTACTCATGTAGATTCCAATTAGAAAAAAAGACACAATGTTATATTTAGCAGATGCTAAAATTTAATGTGCTAATATATTAACGAAGACAATGAATGGATTTTGAAATTGTTGGGATGTCTTTGAGGCATTTAAGTTCTGTTGGGTTTATTACTCATTCGAAAATGTGAAACACCAAAAAATCTAATGAAAGAAATATTTTATTTGGAATTGAGAGGAGTATTCACAATTCAGCGAGAAGATTGTCAAACACCCTGTTGAGTTTCAGATGATAGTTTGGCAATGTATGGATAGGGATAGCAAAACAAAATCAAAATCTGATTTCCGGAACATTCCTGTTGATAGGTACATTGATTGTACCTCTAGGCATGAAAGATAGCAAGGTATAGATCAATGGAATGCAATAAGAAATTTAAAAAAGGAAAAAGAAAAGGGTATGGAATAATAGATGTGAAGCTCACAAAAATTAGTTTAGATACTGATACGAAATTCTCCTAAATATCCTTTGAATGATTGGAATATCATAGCTTATGTTTTTCTTTGTCTCATTTTTTTCCTTCTTTTTTGTTGGATGATCAAGTTGGATAAATGAGTGGATGAATAAACTCTTCAAACTTAATTAATATAAGCCAAGTCTAAGTCAAATATATGCAGGTCTTTTACAAACTTCTCTTTAACCTAATACCACTTTTCTTCACAACTCATTTCCAATTCAAGTTACCAAATGCTGAATTAATAATACCAAAAATGGACAATTATAGGATGGAAAGCATTCCGATAAGCATACCGCCTTAGCCTCCTTATATTCGTCAACAGCCTTGTGGGAAGCATATGAGAACTTGATCTCAGGTCCCAATTCAGGGACAATGAAACAGCTGGATCAACACATCAACAACAATTCATTAGCATAAAAGTCAAAATCACCGAAACAACATATTTTGGTAATCAACATTGATTCATTACTTACTAGTTGGTGTCGAACCACTTGGTCATCTCCATAGCAGGTACAGAGGCATTTCCTCTAGCCATGGAGAAGTAAGTGTCAAACCCAATCTCACCACTGGTCCAACCATATCTAGGGGGAACAGCGCCGAGCATCACGGTTGTATCAAGCACCTGATCATAATAAGAGAATGTGTTGCTAGGAATATACTTGATGCCAGCACTGGCCATCTGCTTCCAGATGGAAGACCTCAGATAGGCTGCATCCTTTTTCAAATCCTCAGCACTTCTCTTCTTATCCCAGAAAGATTCCAATGCAAACTTGAGCCCTCCCTCGGGGCCCATGGGAGGACATCCACCGATGTGGGAGGCCATTTTTTCTGGTTCATCAAGATTCAACAAATCAAACAAGATTTTAATTGCCAGTATACAAATTGACCCAAATTCTAATGTATACATATAACACACGTGCATAAATGGTGGGGCTCCCAACACCCATCACGAACTCCCAATTCATTAATCTACACTCAATATACTAAGAAAAATGACTGATCCCACTAAGGAACAAATACAGACAAACAGAAAAAATTAGGTTATGTATTTCATGGGAAAGACTACTATACATATCTCCCAAAATAGTGCATACAATATGCACTCACACTTGTAATCATTGGATCTAAAAAATTTGAATCTGAGATGTTGATTTGGTTCATAAGCAACGTATGGGTTATAACTTATAACCAAACACTATTAGGTTGATAAACAAACACTATAGGTCATAACCAAATACCATCAGATTCATAACCCAATTTGATGATATAGATTATCTAATTTATATGCAAAATAACAGAAACAAAAAGGTGAAAAAAAAATATTGAAATCAATGCTATACGTCATGATCCAAGATCATCTTTTTTTCATTCGATATCACTTGTACAACAATATTAAATAGCTTCATTTATTTAAAAACTACTTAGCACATGAATCATGCAAATTTGCACCATCAACTTTACTAGCCTTTAGATCAAAGAAAAAATAGACATATTATGTGTTTCCAAGGCATAACCAAACTTGAGCAAACATGAAGTAAAAAAAGATTACTTTGATGTAAAAAAAGGTGTTCACATTAATCAAGGCTTAGCTATTGATAGACAATAATGAGACAGAAATAAAAGCACAAGTCAAGTGGAATCAAATAACTACAGACTAGATCTACAAATAAGAAATGTAGATCTAGAATAAAAAACAGAACAACTGCACAGAGCACCTAATGCGGACAGTTTTTTTTCCTGAACCCATAATTCTCAGTAGCTACTTTATATCAGATCTATTACAAATACAAGATTCAAAACCAGATCTACATGTTTCAACATCATAACACACATGATCTATCACATATGTATCTATACATGGACATGTAAAACTAAAACAGGTGTGAAAAGCCCAAAAAACTAATCAAAAACTATAACCAAATGAAATGAAACAGACAAGCAAGGACACTGGTAGATCTAAAAGTGAAAATACAATTCTGGGTTGAAAAGATTCATGCAAAAAAAAAGCTACAAACAATATGGATATTGAAGATTGACTGAAAGAGAAAGAATTGGGAACTTGGATTGTAATAAAGTAGAGCTCAGGATACTAATAGAACAATTGAGCGAGAAATGTGGGGGTGTGAGCGACGGAGAGTGCAGAGAGACTTGAGGGAGAGTGCTAACCTTTAGGAGGTAGAACCGGAAGAGAGAGAAATCTGCGACTGGTTCTTGGTGTGAGAGAGAGAGAGAGAGAGAGAGAGAGAGAGAGAGAGAGAGACATGAGGAGGGAGAGACAAGTTTGGGAAGTTATTTATAGACTAGAAGGCAGAGAAGTGGTGGGTGAGTGGGTGCTGGATATTGGAATTTCATTTTCCCATTGTGTTTGGTTTCTCGGAAAATGTTTGTCAGCTATGCGCCTTTAGTAGAAGTGTGAATTGGTTTATCTCTGCAATTTTGAGGGAAAATTATTTGGTAGTGTTAAGGTAAAGTAAGTTGGTTTTTATTGGTTAAAATAATGAGATTTATCAATATATATATATATATATTTTTAGAGAGAAAATGGAGAAATTATTCAATGTCTTTGGGGTAATACTCTATTTCATTTACACATTAATAATTAAAAGTGGTAGATTTTATGATTTAGATTAATAACTACTCATTTAAAACACCACTTAAAGAATTGAATAATTTCTCGACAAAATAGTGTAGAGTAATGCTCTCATGCCCTGTTTTGATTAGTTGGAGTATTAGTGATTGGATTAACAATTTCATATGATTATGTGTAGGATTGTTAATATCTACCCTCTTCTAGTATTAAATATATTACAATCTTGTAGGATTAAAAATCCTACATATTATTAAATCGAATCTCATTGGTGTTATTAAAAAATAAAAATAAAAATTTAATAAAATTAACAGTCTAATCTCATGTTATTATTTCGCAATCAAAGAGGCCACAAATCACTAAATAATTAAGTCAAAGAGATCCATGTGGTTCTACTTGGTTACTTGGTGGTTGAGGGTGTAAATTTGGTCCGGCCCATATTGAGCTGCGCAGGCTCTTATCAAAATTCGGGCTGGACCGACCCACATGCCAAAAAACCAGGCCTAAGGAGCATTCAGGTCTCGGGCAAGTAGCGGGCCTAGGCTCAGGCCTGACCATTTTTTTATTTTTTTAAGAAAAATGACTGATCCCACTAAGGAACAAATACAGACAAATAGAAAAAATTAGGTTATGTATTTCATCGGAAAGACTACTATACAAATCTCCCAAAATAGAGCATACCATATGCACTGACACTTGTAATCGTTGGATCTAAAAAAATTGAATCTGAGATGTTGATTTGGTTCATAAGCAACGTATGGGTTATAACTTATAACCAAACACTATTAGGTTGATAAACAAACACCATAGGTCATAACCAAATACCACCAGATTCATCACCCAATTTGATGATATAGATTATCCAATTTATACGCAAAATAACAGAAAAAAAATATATTGAAATCAATGCTATACGTCATGATCCAAGATCATTTTTTTCCATTCAATTTCACTTGTACAACAATATTAAATAGCTTCATTTATTTAAAAACTCCTTAGCACATGAATCATGCAAATTTGCAACATCAACTTTACTAGCCTTTAGATCAAAGAAAAAATAGACATATTATGTGTTTCCAAAGCATGACCAAACTTGAGCAAACATGAAGTAAAAAAGCACAAGTCGAATGGAATCAAATAACTATAGACTAGATCTACAAATAAGAAATGTAGATCTAGAATAAAAAACAGAGCAAGTGCACAGAGTACCTAATGCAGACAGTTTTTTTTTCCTGAACCCATAATTCTGAGTAGCTACTATATATCAGATCTATTGCAAACACAAGATTCAAAACCAGATCTACATGTTCCAACATCATAACACACTTGATCTATCACATATGTATCTATACATGGATATGTAAAACTAAAACAGGTCTGAAAAGCCCAAAAAACTGATCAAAAACTATTACCAAATGAAATGAAAAAGACAAGCAAGGACACTGGTAGATCTAAAAGTGAGAGGGCTAACCTTTAGCAGTTAGAACCGGCAGCGAGAGAAATCTGCGACTGGTTCTTGGTGAGTTAGAGAGAGAGACACGAGAAGAGAGAGACGAGTTTGGGAAGTTATTTAGAACAGGAAGGAAGGAAGTGGGGCCTATTTTGGGCGGCGGGGCTCGTTAGATTATAATCCACTTCCACCTTCAACACAGATTTTCTTTGGTATATGATAGTTGGAGCTTATAATCTTTCTCTTGTTTCAGGGATTTTCGTCATGAAAAAACAAAGAAGAAGCGTGGTAGTTATAGAGGAGGGCAGATTGATCTACAAGCCCACTCAATAAAGTTCAATTATTCTGATGATAATTGAGAGGCTTCTGATTGTGAGTGAAAAGTTCTTGCCCTTTGTTTGTGGTTTTCTTATGATTCTAAACTATTTCATCGATTCTTGTGGGTCATTGATGCTGCAATTCTTGCATTAGTGTTCCATAAACCAAATTTTGAGTTGATTATTAAGATTTACATGTAGTATGATACTTTTATCTTAATTATTCAGAATTTTGAACTTAAAATCTTCAACTTTGCCTATTCCCCAAAAAAAAAAAAAAAGTCAATTTTTACCAACTTCCCAAAACACAACTGGATAATTCAAGTCCTCTCAATAAAACCTCAAATAGAACCCTTTCCAAGGAGACAAAAGAAGCCTGTAGTGACTAAAGAGTATTTTGAAAAGTTGGTTAAAAGTTAGATTTTTGGCTTTTTTTTTTATTATATTGTCTTTTTATGAGTAAAACATGTCAGAGGTGATATAACTCAAAATGAGTTAAAAATTAAAAACTAACTTTTAACTGAGTTGCCAAATTAATCCTAATAACTACTCATTTAAAACAACACTTAAAGAATTGAATAATTTCTCGACAAAGTGGTTGTAGATTAATGCTCCAATGCGTTGTTTTGATTAGTTGGGGTATTAGTGATTGGATTAACAATCTCATATGATTATGTGTAGGGTTGTTAATATCTACTCCTTTCTGGTATTAAATACATTATAATTTTGTAGGATTAAGAGTTCTACGTATTACTAAATCGAAGTCGTTAGTGTGATTCAAAAATCAAAATATAAATTTGATAGAATTAATAGTCTAATCTCATGTTATTATTTTGAAATCAAGAAGGCCACAAATCACTAAATAATTAAGTAAAAGAGATCTATGTGGTTCTACTTGGCTACTTAATGATTGAGGGTAGGGATGTAAATTTGGTCTCGTCCATATTGAGCCACGAAACTCTTACCAAAATTCGAGCTAAGCCAATCCACAAGCCACATAACCAAGCCCAGGGCCAAGCTTACGCCCAAGAAGTATTCAGGTTGTAGGCAAGCTAGTAAGTCAAGCCAAAGGGCCTGGCCACTTTTTTTTTTTTTTTTTACTAGAATTTTTTTTTTTTTTTTTTTTCATAAAAAATGATACCAGGCCTCGAGCTGAGCCACACAGACCAACCTCACGGGCCAGACCGAGCTCCAAAATACACAACCCAAGCCTAAGGTCTCGAGTTAGGCTCAGGCTTGATTAGGCTTAATCGGGCCAAGCCCATATAAAGATATCATACTGGGCTAGTTCATCTCTACAAGCAATCTCATAAGAGGGTCGAGCCGAGGCACGACGGTGTCGAGCCTGAGGAACCTATCAGAGAAACATGGAAGCTGTGAATGCATGCACATGGAGGATGTCACATCAGCTGGTCCTCTCCCCCTAGAATCACGGAAAGAGTTGATCAAGGGAATGTGATCTGTTACAAGCACGGTTACAATGAGTATATACACCCCTTGTCAACTACTAGATGGTCCCCTACTTTGAGTAATGTTAAAAGAAACTTGGCAGCACCAAAGCTCCATGAAACCATCTTGGGCAACAAATAAGGAGTTCTATATGTAACAACCCAGATTTGTAATTATTTTGTAAAATTTATACTAATATTATTTAATCACAGTTAGGAAAATATATAATTTATTTTGTATTATTATTAAAATTTATACTAATATTATTTAATCAAAGTTAAGAAAATATATAATTTATTTTGTATTATTATGTATAATTTTATAAAATAATATAAAGAACTTTGGGGGTCAAAGCATAAATAAGTCACTAATTTCTAAGGGATAAGATTAAAACCTACGGATGATGATGGCAACTCTATATATAGAGGGGTATATGGCATGGCCACGTGTCACTAAGCTTGGTGGGCAAGCATTTCCCCTTGTATAAAAGGAGATGATTCAGTTGGGTGGAAAAACAAAAAAGGGAAAGGAAAAGTAAGAAAAATGAGAGAAAAGAGAGGAAGAAAAGAGAAAAAAATAAAATAATGGAAGTTGAAAAGGTCTTTAATGGTAAAAAAAAATAGTGAGGTATTAAAGGTAAGGTGGGTTATATTATAACTTGAGCCACCAAAATATATTTTACATATGTTTTAACTTACCATATTTATTTTATGCAAGTTATGTTTTATAAATTATTATAAACTATATTATTATTTCAGTTACGTGGATTTATTTCTGAACCTTATTTGTTAAAAAGAAACCCATGGATATGTTTGTTTTATATTTTAAGAATATTTGACTATGATCTTATATACAATTATGTTCTGTAAGTACCACCACGGGAGTCCTACGCCTTAGGGGACTTAAATAACCATTGGCCCTCTGATTAGTCACTTTGTGACCCTCTGTCTGTCATGGATCCATTGACCATCTGAATTTTTGGTGTGGAGCAAAGTGATGTACGGAACTAAGTGCTACACTATGGTGGGAGCCATCTCTAGAATTTGTACGAGCCACCTGTTGAGTCCATACATCTATTCTGTTCCGTTCTGTACCGTGGTTATGATTATTTTGTTTATATGATTTTCCGTATTATATGTTAAATAATCTCTGTATTATATATTTTGTATTTTAATATCAAGCTTTGTTTAGCCCAATAATTATCCATGGTGAATTTTATGCCCTTACGCTCTTAGTATAATATTTCTCGCTCTACCATGTGCTTATAGTTGTTTACTACTTTTAGGTGACATGTCAAGGCCAGTATATGGGGTAGGCACAAAGCACTTGTAGATATAATTCAGCTCTGACAATTTAATTAAATAGAAACTTTAATGATTATTTTGGTACCCTCACTTAAATATTATTTCCGCTCGCATTTATTTGTTTGTTTAAAAATTGGCCGAAGATAACTTCAGTTACCGGCCATCACGACACTTAACCTTTGGGTACGGGAAGTGGGTCATGACAAATGGTAAGTATCGTGATGGCCAGTAACTGGGGTTACCTCCGGCCAATTCTTAAATAAATAAATAAACGCGAGCGGAAATAATATTCAAGTGAGGGTACCAAAATAATCATTAGAGTTTTTATTTAATTTAAATTGTCAGAGTTGAACTATCTCTACAAAATGCTTCGTGCCTACCCCATGCGCTGGTCCTGACATATCACTTGAAAGTGGTAAACAACTATAAGCACATAACAGAGTGAGACATATTATACTAAGAGTATAAGGGCATAAAATTCACCATGGATAATTATTGGCTAAACAAAGCTTGATATTAAAATGCAGAATATATAATACAGAGATCAAATACGAAAATCATATACATAATCATAACCACGGTACAGAACGGAACAGAACAGATGTATGGACTCAAGAGATGGCTCATACGAACTCTAGAGGTGGCTCCCACTATAGTGTAACATTTAGTTCCGTACAGCACTTTGCTCTACACCAGAAGTCATAACCACGGTACAGAACCGGAAAAATGTATGGACTCAAGAGGTGGCTCCTACCATAGTGTAGCACTTAGTTCCGTACAGCACTTTGCTCCACACTAAAAATTCATAGGGTCAATTGATCCATGACAGACAGAGGATCACAAAGTGACTAATCAGATGACCAATGATTATTTAAGTTTTCCAAGACGTGGGACTCCCGTGGTGTACTTACAAAATATAATTGTATATAAGGTCATAGTTAAATATTCTTAAAATTTAAAACAAACATATACATGGGTTTCCTTTTAACAAATAGGGTTCAGAAATAAATCCACGTAACTGAAATAATAATATAATTTATAATAATTTATAAAACATAACTTGTAAAAAATAAAAATGATAAGTCAAAATATAAGTAAAATATATTTTGATAACTTAAAATATAATATAACTCACATTAATTTTAATACTTCACTCTTCCTTTCCGGTATGAAATACTTTCTTAACTTCCATTATTTTTCCTTCATTTTTTTTCCTTTCTTTCTTTTCCTCTATTTCTTTCTTGCTCCTTTCCTTTGTTTCACACAGCTCCTCCTTTTAGGTTTAATGCTTGTTCTCCAAGGTTTAGGTGACACGTTACTCCTATATCCCAACCATTATTACACGCTAGATTTGACATTATTTTTCCAAATAATAAGTTTCAATAGTTACTTAATTATATTTAATTATATTTAAGCCCAAATCTTTAACGTAATTATATTATTTTACAAAATTACATATAATAATACAAAATAAATCATATATTTTTCCAACTGTAATTAAATAATATTAGTATAAATTTTACAGAATAATTAAAAATTTGGATTGTTACAGTTTTACATAAGTTTGAAAAAAGAATCGAGCTAAAAAAATTATTATTTACTTCGGCTAATGACCAAAAAAAAAATCTAATGATAAAAAAACTTCATGTTGCAAGTATTCTAGGATCTTGGCAACTCTTTGTTTTCACTGTCTTTAAGCCGATATGCTCCATTGCCCAAGACCAAGATGATTCTATAAGGTCCCTCCCAATTTGGGCCAAGCTTGCCCTCTCCGGGATCCTTTTTATTGCTAGCGACCTTTCTCAGGATGAGATCCCCGACTTCTCGTGGGTTGACCTTCTTATTGTAAGCCCTAGCAAGCTATTGCTGGTATGCCCCCGGCTGAATTGCTACTTTCTCCCTTCTTTTGTCCAGTAGGTCTAAATTTCGAGCTAAAAATGCATCATTAGTCCCATTCTCCACCCCCTAGGTTCTGATCCTTAGGATGCCGACCTCCAGTGGAATAACTGTTTCTGTGCCACAGGCCATAGAGAATGGGGATTCTCCAGTTGATCTT